GCCCTCATGGACGCACCGCCCGGGCAAAGCTGCAGCCGCCTGAGGCTCAATACAGAGCGCTCGGGCGGCTGCAGCATGGGGGGGGCGGCGGAGCTGGTCTGGCACCCCCCACCCGGCTGGCACCCGGGGCGGACCGCCCCCCCCGCCCCCCCCTTAGTACGCCACTGTGTAAATGTTCGCAAATGTGTATGTTTGAGCTCCTATGGAGCATTTGAGGAAGAGGAATCTTCCATGAGGGTCTGTTATTTGGTCTTCTAGGTTGAATGGGACATGGCCCGCAAACAGGATTGCCACTGCTCTCACCTTACCTTCCGGTATCTGCGATCCCGGAGGGACGGCGCCGAGCCCTGTCTAAAGTGGGTCTCCTGCAGGAAGGCCACGTCCGCTCCTATTCTTTTTAGAAGAAGAAGGCACCGCCTCTCCGGGATATTCAACCCCCTGACAATCAATGATACTATATGAGAACACATAATGAACAGTATTAAAGATACAATTCTAGCTGCATGAATTCCTGGGGGACCGCCTTGTCCCGGCCCAATCCCATGCCTGCCATTGCACTAGTACACACATATAGAGTTACATTTGCCATTTTGATCTGATAGGATTGCTTGCCATAAACATTCAACAATAAAAAATAATAAATTGAAGAATAAACAATACATTTTGAGAACTGTGAAAAGAGTGTTTGCATTTGCTCAATATGTGAGCAAGAGATTCCAGCCGGAATCATGGTTATGGAGATTCGTGTCATCTCGTGTGGAGTGGGACCTGTGTCCTGTACCCCAGGGATTAACTGTGTGCGACACGACTCATGGGGGGTGGAGGATATGCTTTCAATAAGAAGTGGTAGGTAGAGGGTGGTGTGAGCAAGTTCTCGTGGTCGGGTGAGCTTTTAGCTGACACATTTCATCCTATGAGGGTCTCGCAGGGGAGGGGCTCTCGATCTATTACTTTTGAGGGTCCCATGTATGCTAGTGTCAGTTGTGAGTGGGGTTACTGTATTAAGTGAACTGGTGCTGGTAAAACAGTAGAATCAGCCAGCACACCTTAGGCCTTAGTGCTCTGTGCGCTCTGTCGAATTTAATTGGTGTGTCCTTTGGACGGTCCAGTATTGAATTGAATAAACCCGTTAGGATCTTCATTAAATTTTCAGGACCTGCATTCGATTCCAGGAGACCCTGGAGCTTGATGTTACTCCGCCTTCCCCTGTTATCAAGATCTTCCAGGTAGCTATGCATTGATGTTAGTTTGGGGTTAATCTGTTTGATTTGTGCATTTGCTGTATTCAAGTGGGTGACCTGAGTGTCTACAGCTGCTTCCAGTTGTTGAACTCTCGTGTCTAAGGAGTTGAGACCTGCTCCTAAATCAGAGATTTTTACCTGAATAGATTTGAATGGCAAGAAAACTATAAATGGGCTGCACTGGATGTAACATCACTCAATACGGTGGTAGAACATGATCATGGTATCGAAACAGTGAAATAATTTTTGCTCTGAGTTAAAAATGTGCCTAGAGATTGAGGGGGGGCATTCTTGAGTGTATCTATTTCATTTTAAAACTTATTTATCCATATTTTGATGAGAATGATTTTTTACAGATCACACAGACTGCCATGGAAACCAAGTTTGCCCCCACCCATACCAACATCTTTATGAGAGGTTGGGAAGACCAGTATGTAACAGAGTCCACCTGGCTGTCCAGCATATTACCCGTTTACTGGTCACTTGATCCCCAAGACTTTTGTGTGAATCACTTATAAAGACATTCGTGTGGATTTAAAGCATTCGTCTAATTTTTCCCCATAGACTGTATTGAACCACTCCATTCGATATACGATCTAAAACTACCGAATCACCGCACCACCCTGATGAGAAGTGTGGCTTCAATCTACCTTCCAGTTTGCTTAATTAAATTTCCCATCGAAAAGCACGAACTTGTTGTTAAAGTCCCTGGGTGGCCGCCATTTCGGGAGCCGAACACGTTGCGGCGGCCATCTTAAACTCCCGAACAGCGGTGTTTTGCCGTCGAGTGTCTGGAACTAAAATCGGACACTCGACTAAGCGAACACCACTGAGACCTCCAGAGCTAGGGAAGAGACTGATAGAAACTCCCGAAAGGCCTGCCGTTCGGTAGTTTGAATCCCACGAACAAGGGGATTCATCTGAATGCAAACACAGCTCTGGATAGCATTGAGTTCGGGACTTTTTAGACACAAAAGAGAGACCAACTGCAGGGCCAAAACTCATGGAACTGTTTTCGGCTACTATTGCCTGTGCGGTCGGTCAAAACTTTACACCTCGATAACTCCCGAACCCCTGGTCCGATATGGGTGATTTTTGAGTATGTTGCTCACCCAGATCAGGGTAATCAGGGGATACCATATTTAGGGTTGTGAAAGAAAAAACGATTATAAATAGGATGGCACAAATGGGAGAAGGATCTTAGTACATGCAGCAACCAACAAAAACAAATCCTGGTAAAACGATTTGAACATAAAATAACTTACACTAGTGATGGTGCGCAACAACAAAAATCGTATTCACTATGGACCTTTTATAGAGAGTGAAAGTAACCCTGTGTACATGAAATGAGGTGTATACAGAGTGGAAATATTAGTAATTGAAACACAAACAGTGGTTGTGGTAAAACAACGCACAATCTGTAGGTATACTTGCAAACATGGAAATCACTCGGACACCTATTAAGGAGACAAAAACAGAAAGAGAGCTCCTAGTGCAGCATAGTAATTCACTTATAGATATATAAAATAAAGCCAACAGAGGTGCCCTTAAGGTATTACACTCACAAGATTGGAGTGGTAAAGGCACCACTCGTTGCTATAGCACTCAGGGAGGATCAGCCCCTAGAGTGCGTGGGATCCGTGAAAAAGAAACTTGCAATCCGGATCTCAGGTAAGTATACTTTATTAATAGCAATTTAAAATCAGCAAAACTTGTTGTGGAGGTAGTTAGTCCGCTCACCAGCCTCAGGAGAAAAAAATAAAAATAAATATATATATATATATATATATATATATATATATATATATATATATTTAGGAGTGTACCTTATGTATTTTGGGTACATCTAGAACATGGGGAAAATTGTGTACCTTTTAATTATGTTAAATGTTTATTTGAGGGGAGGAGATGTGTGGGTTGTACCTTGTAACCAATTGGTTATTGTAATAATTATGGTGGGTGTCTCCCTTGCATGGGAGGATTGCATAAAAGCAGAGGTTGTGTGATTAAAGATCAGTTCTGCTCCTGATACTGTGTGTCATCCAGTGATTGGGAAAGGTGATGGGATTATATTACTGATTGCGCTTGCTACGCTGCTGGATTACTCTGTCACTGTGGATGTTCTACTTGGGATTATTTACTTGTTCTTGAGCCATACTGGGATCTATAGCGGATTTAGTCTGTGGGATATCAGCTCTCCGCTACACAGTAGCTGGGCATTTTATTGTTGACGTACATATAATTTGGAGGGGGTCTAGGTCTACTTTTGATTACATTACATTAAAAAATCACTATAGTGTCAGGAAAGCAAAGCAATATAGTGTTTGCAGTGCCAGGAGAGCCCTTGCACCCACCATTCTAAGTAGTCAACCTGTTTTAAACCTTACCTGAGTTGCATCTGGTGCCACTTCCTACCTCCACTACCTCTGATGGAGGCCTGGAGGAGCTTCCATTAGCTTTTCTAAGCTGCTAGCTCATTGCTTGAGATCATCAGCTGATCACTCTCAGACTATGAACTAAGCCTTGCTCCACTGGGCTTAGCTCTGATAGATCATATCTAGATCGTGCTTAGTGATTGGCAAAGAGATTTCATCCACTCCCTGGATATTAAATGGTCAGTGTAAGCACTATAACCTTTCCATCTCAGTGAATTAGTTAAAGTGCCAGGAGTCCCATGTTGCATTCAGTTTTAAACAATTTTTGAGCAATTTCATACTAAAGAACGGTCTCCGGCCACCCACAGCCAGTGTAGAAGTGTGGCTAAAGCAGAGAATACACACTCCATTCTAACCCTACCGATTTTATAACTGTAATGGGCACTGTGAAACAGTTAACTGACACCTCAGCCAATCACAATCACCCATTGCTGCTCAGGCTAATAAATCCTTACTAGAACAAGCAGCACAGGGGGGATGGGCTGCAGGGGACTCTCGCATAGCATTAAAAATGGTTTAACACTGCATGGAAGGACAATGACAGGCAGAGGTAGTTCTCTAATTAGGCGTTTTAGGCGGTTGCCTAAGGCCTCGCGCAGACTGGGGCCTCGCGGCACCTAAACCAAATTAGGGCAGACTGTGTCAGGTCAGTGATGTCTGCCCGGGAGGAGAGCACCCGTGGCGGGCGGTCTGCGGCTTCGCAGTGTGCAGAGCTGCAGACCATGTGTCTCGCAAGATCTGAGTAATCAGAGCGTTGCCGTGATAACTCTGCTAACTCTGACCGGGTCTCATGAGATACATGGTCTGCAGCTCTGCACACTGCAGAGCTGCAGACCAGCGGTCATGGCCACCAGGGAGCCCACCCGACCCTTAGGGAGCCCACCGGACCATTGGGGAGCTAAAAAGGTATTTAGTCCCTTATTGCCACTACCTCCCAGTATACCTCCTCTCTCACAACTTCACCCCCCTCCCTCCCAGTATACCCCCTTCCTCCCAGTATACCCTCTCCCACACAACTCCCCCCTTCCTCCCAGTATAGCCCCTCCCTCACAACTCCGCTTCCTCCCAGTATACCCCCTCTCTCATAACTTTACCCCCCTCCCTCCCAGTATACCCTCTTTCTCCCAGTATACCCCCTCCCTCACAACCCCGCCTCCTCAGTATACCCTTCTCTCACAACTTTACCCCCTCCCTCCAAGTATACTCCTCCCTCACAACTTCCCCTCTTCCTCCCAGTATACCCCTCCCTCACAACTCCACTTCCTCCCAGTATACCTCTCTCATAACTTTACCCCCTCCAGTATACCATCTTTCTCCCAGTATACCCCTCCCTCACAACCCGCCTCCCCAGTATACCTTCTCTCACAACCCCCCTCCCTCCAAGTATACTCCTCCCTCGACTTCCCTCTTCCTCCAAGTATACCCTCCCCTCACAACTCCCCTTCCTCCCAGTATACCCCTTCTCTCTGCTCTCCCTCCCTCCCAATATACCCCCTCCCTCACAACTTCACTCCTTCCCTCCCTCACAACTTCATCCCCCTTCTTCCCTGTATAGGTGTACCCTGTAGGAATGGGAGATCCACAGAAACCTTGCCAGGCTAAATTTGAGGAAATGGACCATAAAATGGACCAATTTGCTCAGGCCTTCCAGACCTTGTTAGCCAGAACAGCCCACCTCTCTCCTGAAAACTTTCCACCTATGCCTATCCAGCCTGTGTCTGTGGTGATTGAAGCTTCTGGTTAGAACAGTATGAGCACCAACCTGACACTACCTCCCAGATATGGTGGTGATCATAAACCAGATAGAGTTTCATTTTGAAACGTCTCCCAGGTCTTTTACCACTGAAAGGTCCAAGGTCGGGTTTTTTATGCACCAGTTAAGCGACAAGGCCTTGGAATAGGCTAATCCTTTATGGGAGGCAAACAAGGATTTGGTTTATAATTACAAGACCTTTGTAAGAGCCTTTCATAAAGTGTTTGCTCCACCTGGCACAAAGAAGAGTGCAGCAAAATCTCTTATGAGGATTAAGCAGGGAAACAGATCCATAGCAGATTATGCAACTATTTTCCGCACTCTTGCCTCTGCGGTAGATTGGACCAATAGTGGTTTGACTTTTGCATTCATGGAAGGGGTTAATGATAACATCCTGGATGAGGTGGCAGCCAGAGATCTTCCAGTCCTTCTAGAAGATCCTATCGATGATCTAATCAACATAGATAATCGACTAAGGGAAAGAGCCCAACAGAGGACTTGTGTTAGACGTCCTACTGTTACCATAACCCATAGGGTCTGTGATGCTTTTGTGTAATGTCTCTTTAATTGGAACTCAACTGCAGAAACAATAAGTTTCACCTCCTTTATTTTATTGAAGTGAACAAGGTAGACTGTATCTTTAAATACACATGCAAGGAAAAATGCAATGCTTATTTGTCAACAGAGAGTTTAGAGAAATTAAATACTATAATAATTGATATGACTTGCTTTCCTTGACAAGAGATTTACTTAACTTAGAAGCACTCTGGCACTGGAAGGGTTAATTCACCCAATGGAGGAAAAGGAAGGAGTCTCTTTTAACAGACTGCAGTTTAGTAGTGAGAGAAAGGAAGTCCGTTTGTCCAAGCCGAGGTCTGAGAGAGGAGAGGGTAGAAATCCGTTTACAAGCCGAGGTCTGAGGGATGAGAAGGTAGAAATCCGTTTACAAGCCGAGGTCTGAGGGATGAGAAGGTAGAAATCCGTTTACAACCCGAGGTCTGAGAGAGGAGCCGGTAGCATCGAGTGGGGCAGCTGATCTTACTGCCGCACCTGAGTGAATAATCCAGCCCTTTGAATCTGGCGCGGTCTTCCTAAGTATCGTGGAAAGACCGCGTCAGAAAAAAGGGCGGAGCTAAGCGCCGTGAACCCGGAAGTGGGTTCCGGCGGCAGCATGAATGTTAGGTATACCTGACAGTACCCCCTTCTCATGGGGCATCCTCTGGGTGGACTTATTTCGGTTTAGAGGGGTAGCGTTTGTGAAAAGCATCAACTAATCTCTTTGCATGAACATTAGATGAATCTTCCCAGGTATCTTCATCAACTCCATAACCTTTCCATCTGATAAGGTATTGTAAAGAGCCACGGTGGATACGAGAATCCAAAATCTTATGAATTTCATATTCTTCTTCACCTTGGACGATGATAGGTTCAGGAGTTGTTACTATTTCTCTATGGAAAGGATCAGGGATGTGTGGTTTAAGCAAAGAGACATGGAATACTGGATGAAGTTTAAAACTTGGAGGAAGTTTTAATTTAACAACGTTATCATTGATGATTGTAGTTATTTGAAAAGGACCAAGAAAAAGTGAGCTCAATTTCTTTGAAGGACGGTTTGTGGTAATATTTTTTGAAGAGAGCCAGACAAGATCCCCCACTTTATAAGGAGGGGGAATTCTTCTTTTATGGTCAAAAAACTTTTTCTGGTAGTTTTGGGCGAGTTGAAGATTCTCCCGTAATTTAAGAAATAGAGAAGACATAAATTCATTTTTTGAAGTAACCGTGGGATTGGATGAAGAATTAGATGGGATGGGAAATGAGGACGGATGAAATCCATAGTTGGAGAAAAAAGGAGTCATTTTCGTACTAGAATGAATGGTATTATTGTAAGAAAATTCAGCCATAGGTAACCAAGTGGTCCAGTCATCTTGCAGGTATGAACAATAACATCGGAGATATTGTTCCAAACATTGATTAACTCTCTCTGTTTGCCAATTAGTCTGGGGATGATAGGCAGAAGAGAGTTTGCGTTGAATTTGAAGAGAGAGACACATCTCTTTCCAGAATTTGGAGGTAAATTGTGTCCCCCTATCAGAAATAATTTCTTCTGGAAGACCATGAAGCTTTACAATATTATCAATAAAGACTTTGGACAATTCTACGGAGGAGGGTAATTTTTTTAAAGAGATGAAATGGGACATTTTAGTGAAGCGGTCCACAACAACAAGAATAGTGGTGAACTGTCGGGATGGAGGAAGGTCAACAAGAAAATCCATAGAAATGGATTGCCAAGGTTTTTCTGGAATAGGTAAGTTAAGTAGTAATCCAAAAGGTTGATTATGTTCAGATTTGGACCTTTGACAGATAGGACAAGTTTTGACATATAATTCAATGGTTCTATCTTGGCGAGGCCACCAATAATATCGTGAAGTTAGTTCAAGAGTTTTCTTTATTCCAGGATGTCCAGCTAGGGGTGAATCATGAACCATTTTG